AGGGGTATTACCAAATCTCGTTAACTCCCGAGGCTAGAAAGATATCAGCTTTTGTGACACCAGATGGACTGTATCAGTATAAAGTGTTGCCCTTCGGGATGAAGAACAGCGGGAGTTGTTTTCAACGTATGATGAACGAGTGGCTGAGAGGAGCCGAAGGCTGCACTGTATACATTGACGATATAGTAATGTACTCCGACGATTGGGAGGCACACCTAGAGCGACTCAGGGAGCTGTTCAGGAGGCTGGAAGATGCTAACCTGACCGTGAATCTAGCCAAGAGTGAGTTTGGGAAGGCCCATCTAGAATACCTAGGCTTCGTCATCGGTCAAGGAGAGGTTACCCTTGTGGACCACAAGGTATCAGCTATTAGAGAGTACCCAATACCCAGGACACGGAAGGAATTGCTGAGGAATCTTGGGATGATTGGATACTATCGTGGTTTCTGTAAGATCTTTTCCATGATAGCGCATCCTCTGACGGATGCGCTATCATGGAAAAGTTCTAAGAATACACGATGGAAGTGGGGAGAGGCCTGCCAGGAATCTTTCGAGAAGACGAAGAACCTATTGACAGAGGCCCAAGTGTTGATATCCCCAGATTTTACAGCCAGGTTCATTTTGTATGTAGATGCCAGTGATGTAGGGATAGGAGCCATGTTGGCCCAGGAAAAGAGCGAGGTACATAGGCTTGTCGCATTTTACACCAAGAAATTCGTGAAGCGTGTCTATAGTACCGTCGAAAAGGAGGCTTTGGCTTTAGTAATGGCCCTAAAGCACTTCGACGTGTATGTGGGAGGAGGGGCGAGGCCTGTTCTCGTTTTTACAGATCACAACCCTCTGACTGTCTTGTACAAGATGAGAAACTCCAACCAGAGTCTGACAAGGTGGGCATTACTACTACAAGACTACTGCTTAGAAATTAAGCACATCAGAGGGAAGGACAACGTGGTAGCGGATGTCCTTTCCCGAGAACACTAAACCAATATGACTCTTATTTTAAGGGGAGGGGTATGTGACGGTGTTCCCCCCCATATATTTCTCCCACGCCAGCTGTAAGAGTCAAATCTACTTTACCCGAACGTTCTCTGCCTTCCAGAGAACAATTTGACATATGTGGGAGCATGAGGTGTTCTCGCATAGGAGAGAAATTAACTAAAGAAGAGTGTTTTGGCCAGTGACTTAGGCCCTCTTGGATGCCAAGATGGCGCCGACTCCTACGTTTTCGCGCCAAAATGTTATGACGTCAGTGGCACCAGATTGGCCAAGAACGGTGACGTGGTACAGGGAGCGAATGAGAAACGCCCCTGGCAAGTGTGACGTCATGACTGGAGGTAGGTCCGGGCCGTGCGTCGCCGTGGCACCAGGAGTTAGATACGACACGTCGTCAAGGGCGGACGTGCGATAGGGGAGGGTCCTGTCAGTCTGACAGTAATCGCCCCTCTCCGGTGAATATACGCATCACCAGTGGTCTGCGAGCATCCTGTGAGGTCTTCGTAAACTCCGTGAGGCGGACAGAAGAAGGAATTGACGGGAAACGAGCAACAAGTGGTCCAGTGACAGGTGCTTAGCAAAAGTGAAGCCTGGGCAGTGACGTCAGGGACGACTGTACAGTTTCACCAGTCGGGTGATAACGTAGCGGCTGGGCCTGTTCACCATGAGGAAGAAGAACAAACTAGCTGGGAATACGAGCGACTGTGGCCGGGAGTAAGGACTGCAGACGTAGTTGTGAGGAGGAGGCGATGGCCAGGAGACCGACTCCAACCCTTCAAGAGGTTGTGGAGGAGCACGGAGCCTGCAGAGAGAAGCAGTATGGAGAAGACGTGCTTTTTGGGTGTTGGTTGAGGTCCTAGGAAGAACATCAGTGTGTGTGGGGGTGTTCCCTACAGCAAGTCGTGAGCTGGGACCAGGAGCTTCAATTCAACCCTCAACAGAGGATGTTAAATTGAGGTCCACATCATTTATGGTGAAAGTAGGTAATTCAGTTTTCCCTCCCATTCCCCTTTAGTTAGCGATTAGCCAGAGTATCTTCTATGTCGTGAGCAGGGCTCACCAATGTCTGTGTTTCTAGTAAGACACAGTTGTGAAGGGAGATGCTATAGAGCTCTCACGAGATATATATATATGGTGTGTGATTGCACCTGTGGTTTGATGAAGAGATTACTGTGACGAGGACATTTATATTTACATGTCATTTATATTATAAGTTCGTGCCAGAGGTTATATATATAAATATACAAATTAATAGTGTAAGGTTGTGTGCCTAGAGTTACCTCGTTATTGTAAATATTGATAAAGTGAACTATATATACTGGAGTTATTAAATAATATATTCATATGTCTAGTGGTTAACTGTGATTATGCCAGTGTTGTGATATACTGTGAATACGAGTGAATAATAGGCGCCTCACGCCAATAGTGTGAGTATAGTGAGGAAGTGAGCAGTGTGAGGAACAGTGAGGAGTGTGAGTGGACGTGCCAAGTGAATGACGTGCCACGTGAATGTTTGGCAACTCGCGAGTTGCCAAACATTCGATAACACTGCATGTGGAGCGTGGGAAGGTAGTTGTGCTATTTGGGTTCGAGGCCCACTGGTGGGTGGTGTTTAAAGTTATATATATATATATATATATATATATATATATATATATATATATATATATATATATATATATATGTCGTACCTAGTAGCCAGAACGCACTTCTCAGCCTAATATGCAAGGCCCGATTTGCCTAATAAGCCCAGTTTTCCTGAAATAATATATTTTCTCTACTTTTTTCTTATGAAATGATAAAGCTACCTATTTCATTGTGTATGAGGTCACTTTTTTTTATTGGAGTTAAAATTAACGTAGATATATGACCGAACCTAACCAACCCTACCTAACCTAACCTAACCTATATTTATAGGTTAGGTTTGGTTAGGTAGTCGAAAAAGTTAGGTTAGGTTAGGTTAGGTAGGTTAGGTAGTCGAAAAACAATTAATTCATGAAAACTGGGCTTATTAGGCAAATCGGGCCTTGCATAGTAGGTTGAGAAGTACGTTCTGGCTACTAGGTACGACATATATATATATATATATATATATATATATATATATATATATATATATATATATATATATATATATATATATATATATGTCGTACCTAGTAGCCAGAACGCACTTCTCAGCCTACTATTCAAGGCCCGATTTGCCTAATAAGCCAAGTTTTCATGAATTAATTGTTTTTCGACTACCTAACCTACCTAACCTAACCTAACCTAACTTTTTCGGCTACCTAACCTAACCTAACCTATAAAGATAGGTTACGTTAGGTTAGGTAGGGTTGGTTAGGTTCGGTCATATATCTACGTTAATTTTAACTCCAATAAAAAAAAATTGACCTCATACATAATGAAATGGGTAGCTTTATCATTTCATAAGAAAAAAATTAGAGAAAATATATTAATTCAGTAAAACTTGGCTTATTAGGCAAATCGGGCCTTGCATAGTAGGCCGAGAAGTGCATTCTGGCTACTAGGTACGACATATATATATATATATATATATATATATATATATATATATATATATATATATATATATATATGTCGTACCTAGTAGCCAGAACGCACTTATCAGCCTGCTATGCAAGGCCCGATTTGCCTAATAAGCCAAGTTTTCCTGAATTAATATATTTTCTCTAATTTTTTTCTTATGAAATGATAAAGCTACCCATTTCATTATGTATGAGGTCAATTTTTTTTATTGGAGTTAAAATTAACGTAGATATATGACCGAACCTAACCAACCCTACCTAACCTAACCTAACCTATCTTTATAGGTTAGGTTAGGTTAGGTAGCAGAAAAAGTTAGGTTAGGTTAGGTTAAGTAGGTTAGGTAGTCGAAAAAACATTAATTCATGAAAACTTGGCTTATTAGGCAAATCGGGCCTTGCATAGTAGGCTGAGAAGTGCGTTCTGGCTACTAGGTACGACATATATATATATATATATATATATATATATATATATATATATATATATATATATATATATATATATATATATATATATATATATATATATATATATATGTCGTACCTAATAGCCAGAACGCACTTCTCAGCCTACTATTCAAGGCCCGATTTGCCTAATAAGCCAAGTTTTCATGAATTAATGTTTTTTCGTCTACCTAACCTACCTAACCTAACCTAACCTAGCTTTTTTTGGCTACCTAACCTAACCTTACCTATAAATATAGGTTAGGTTAGGTTAGGTAGGGTTGGTTAGGTTCGGTCATATATCTACGTTAATTTTAACTCCAATAAAAAAAATTGACCTCATACATAGAGAAAAGGGTTGCTTTATCATTTCATAAGAAAAAAATTATAGTAAATATATTAATTCAGGAAAACTTGGCTTATTAGGCAAATCGGGCCTTGAATAGTAGGCTGAGAAGTGAGTTCTGGCTACTAGGTACGACATATATATATATATATATATATATATATATATATATATATATATATATATATATATATATATATATATATATATATATATGTCGTACCTAGTAGCCAGAACTCACTTTTTGGCCTACTATTCAAGGCCCGATTTGCCTAATAAGCCAAGTTTTCCTGAATTAATATATTTTTTCTAATTTTTTTCTTATGAAATGATAAAGCTACCCATTTCATTATGTATGAGGTCAATTTTTTTTTATTGTAGTTAAAATTAACGTAGATATATGACCGAACCTAACCAACCCTACCTAACCTAACCTATCTTCATAGGTTAGGTTGGGTTAGGTTGCCGAAAAAGGTAGGTTAGGTTAGGTTAGGTAGGTTAGGTAGTCTAAAAAACATTAATTCATGAAAACTTGGCTTATTAGGCAAATCGAGCCTTGCATAGTAGGCTGAGAAGTGCGTTCTGGCTATTAGGTACGACATATATATATTTATGTGTTTATTTAACTTTTAAAACATCTATGAATAGTAATTATATTGGTTGTTCCAGACACTGATCATGTATGCCAGTATTATATGCGTCATCGTCAAGGGAACTCTAGACGTCGGTGGTTTCAGCGCCGTGTGGGCCAGGAACGCAGAGAGCGGCCGGACACAACTGATCGACTTCGATCCAGATCCCACCACCAGACATACCTTTTGGTCGCTGGTTATTGGGGGATACTTCACCTGGATCTCCGTCTACGGCGTCAACCAGGCGCAGGTACAGTCCAGGAAATGTGTTCTTTTACCCCTCTGTTTCGTGGAACGTGCAGAATGTCAAAGCCGTGTTTGTTGTTGCTGTTGTTGTTTTAGATTCAGCTGCTCGTAACCCAAAATTCGAAGTGTTGTATATGTGGTGTTTTTTGTTGTAGTATTAATGGATTAGAGTATGAATGAATAGGCGCTTTGTAACGAAGAGTCTCATTGGTCCAAACACCACACACTAGTTATATAATTCACACTCCTATTGAAAGGTGCTAAGTGTAGAACAGTGAGTAAAATATTTATATATGTAGATTAGTGAAAAAGGGCTCTTCTTTTGTGCTTAATATTTGATTGACCTTTTATGTAAACGATATTACGAATGATAGTCTTACATATTGCCATTTGGGTGTTGAGGCAGAGACGACGTGACATCATTCACACAAACCTGAACGTCGTTGGCCGTCAATGAATCAACAACACACAGCTTATTTTCAAGATAAAAGAGTTTGTAAACATTTTAATTTGGAATATAGCTGATGAGACTAAGAGACTACTTGTAGTCAATCTCGAGCCTGTTGTTGATGTGATGATGTGTACTGAATTTTGTAACTATCTCATCAGGACTGTAACTTGTTTAGCTCAATGAATTTTGGGGGTCCATCCCTGAACCCATTATGTTCCTCTTTAACCCCTTTCCACTACCGCCCACAGAATGGGTGATAGATGCATAATAAATAAACTTAACTAAATTAGTCGATATACTTTATACGAATAATGTTATCAAGAACTAATTAAACTTCAATATTAGAAGTAGACAAGAGAACCAGAAAGTATTACAATTCATAATCATTTATTATTACTGATGCTGGAAAACCGAATGAAATGAATAGGGGTTATGTGACCTGTGTATCTCACATCGGGCCTGAGTTTTCTGTTGGAGGGTGAAGGCGTTAAGAATACCGGGCCCCCTTCCAGGACCTCAATGTCCGGGGTTTTGTCCTGCCACCTGATGTGGCGGAATCTGCATAAACAGCTCAAGTGAAAGGTATTTAGTTGTTCGGCATGTCTGCTGTTGACAGCCCAGGTCACGCTGGTGTAGAGAAGGGTGGTGAGAACCACTGCACAGTAGACCTACAGTTTAGTGGTATGGCTGAGACCCCTCCACTCCCAGACATTCTCATGGAATCTTCCAAAGGCAGCGCTGGCCTTGGCGATCCTGTTGTTGACTTCTGCTTCTATGTTCATCGCTTTTGAGAGTATGGTGCCAAGATAGGTGAAGTTGTCAACTGACTGCAGGTTGACAACTGACCCTTGACAGTGATGTATGGTTCCTGGTAGGGTATTCCGGGCGTCGGTTAGTATATGACTTCAGTCCTTTTAGTGCTGGTGATAAGACCGAAGTTGTCGCAGTCTTGTGAGAAGCAGTCCATTTCGTGGTGCATCATTTGCTCTGTGGTGGCGTTGAAGGCGCAGTCATTAGTGAATAGGAAGTTTCTTATGACAGTTTCCTTCACTTTTGTAACAGCCTGTTAGCGCTTGAGGTTGAACAGCCTACCGTCAATCCTTTAGCTGATGGGTTTTACATCCTGACAATTACGGAAGACATCAGTGAGCATTGCCGAGAGTACATTCTGAAGAGTGTTGGGGCGAGAACTCAGCCCTGCTGCACAGCGTTCGTAACTGGGATGGCTTTTGACTCATCTCCATCGTCCAGTACTTTCGGCCTCATGCCATCGTCCAGTACTTTCGGCCTCATGTCATCGTGGAACTGCCGGACAATCACAAGGTTTGGTCAGAACAGCCAAACGTTCCCATTAACTTCCACATGCCATATCTGCTGACCGTATCAAAGATGTTGATCAAGTCGACAGAGGTCACGAAGAGGTCGTTACGTTGCTATTGGTATTTTTCTTGGAGGGATTGGGATGGGGCGAAAAGCATTGCCAATTGCAATGGCTTTGTGGAACGGAATTTAATTGAGTCTACGCTAATTAGTCAATGTCCAAATCTTCTCAATGTTAGTACTGGTATGTACAAACTTGACCCTGTTTTAAGTTACAATATTGCACAACAGTTTAAGAAAACACTCTGAAAGGGAGGCTTACAATGTCTCATTACAATTTTATATTCATTTATTGTGTGTTCATGAGGCTTTTCTTTAATCTTATACCTTATTCTCTGACCGCTTAATCCTCTTTGACCTCCTGTTTCTGGTAATCCTTTCCCTAGAGATGGGTTGGTCAGGTTCCTTGGTGCTGGCCTGCATCCACTCTCTCTTCCTCTAGTCAGTCTGATGTTGACAACGGCTTTAACAGGCCGAAACGTTCATCTCTCTTTCACATTTCTTTGTGGTTTTTCCGCATATATATATATATATATATATATATATATATATATATATATATATATATATATATATATATATATATATATATATATATATATATATATATATTGTAGGCCGTCGGACTCGGCCTACTATGCAAGGTCCGATTTACCTAATAAGCCAAGATTTCCTGAATTTACATATTTTTCAATTTTTTCTTATGAAATGATAAATCTGTCTATTTCATTATGAATAAGTTAATTTGTTTAAATTTGAGTTAAAACTAACGTAGATATATGACCGAACCAACCAACCCTACCTAAACCTACCTAACCTAACCTATCTAAACCTAACCTAAACTAACACAACTACATCAATAATTTATGTTCCTAATATAATAAAATAATAATAATTAAAATAAACAAATTGGAAACAATTTATTAAAAATAAAAAAATCACTCGGCCAATTAGGCAAATCTGGCCTTCCATAGTAGGCCAAGAAGTGCGTTCTGGCTACTAGGTATGACATATATATGTGTATATATGTGGATATATATATATATATATATATTATATATATATATATATATATATATATATATATATATATATATATATATATATATATATATATATATATATATATATATATATATATATATGCAATTGACGATCACAAAACACTGATCATTTTATATATCATATAATATATATATATATATATATATATATATATATATATATATATATATATATATATATATATATGTCGTACCTTGTAGCCAGAACGCACTTTTCAGCCTACTATGCAAGGCCCGATTTGCCTAATAAGCCAAGCTTTCCTGAATTAATATATTTTCTCTAATTTTTTTCTTATGAAATGATAAAGCTACCCATTTCATTATGTATGAGGTCAATTTTTTTTTTATTGGAGTTAAAATTAACGTAGATATATGACAGAACCTAACCAACCCTACCTAACCTAACCTAACCTATCTTTATAGGTTAGGTTAGGTTAGGTAGCCGAAAAAGTTAGGTTAGGTTAGGTTAGGTAGGTTAGGTAGTCGAAAAACAATTAATTCATGAAAACTTAATTCATGAAAACTAATTCATGAAAAGAGGAACACAAATGCAAACAAGCCTGAATGGTCCCCACGACTATATTCAACTGATTAAGCGGATTAAGGCGTCCCTGTACATACCAGTTGCGTTGCTCCTGGTAGTATGGGTTCGAGTCACTTCTGGGGTGTGAGTTTTCAGTTGTATATAGTCCTGGGGACCATTCAGGCTTGTTTGCATTTGTGTTCCTCACGTGTGCCCCAAAGAATGAGGTGATTTGATAAAATGCTATGCCCAAGATTACCATCCGAGTGCCGGTGGGGAAGTGGTTCAAATAGCTTCGGCTATCATTTCCTTATGTCCGGTCGTGATGGTCAAGCGGATTAAGGCGTCCCTGTACATACCAGTTGCGTTGCTCCTGGCAGTATGGGTTCGAGTCACTTCTGGGGTGTGAGTTTTCAGTTGTATATAGTCCTGGGGACCATTCAGGCTTGTTTGCATTTGTGTTCCTCACGTGCGCCCCAAAGAATGAGGTAATTTGATAAAATGCTTTACCCAAGAATACCATCTGAGTGCCGGCGGGGAAGTGGTTCAAATAGCTTCGGCTATCACTTCCTTATGTCCGGTCGTGATGGTCAAGGGGATTAAGGCGTCCCTGTACATACCAGTTGCGTTGCTCCTGGCAGTATGGGTTCGAGTCACTTCTGGGGTGTGAGTTTTCAGTTGTATATAGTCCTGGGGACCATTCAGGCTTGTTTGCATATATATATATATATATATATATATATATATATATATATATATATATATATATATATATATATATATATATATATATATATATATGTCGTACCTAATAGCCAGAATGCACTTCTCAGCCTACTATTCAAGGCCCGATTTGCCTAATAAGCCAAGTTTTCATGAATTAATGTTTTTTCGTCTACCTAACCTACCTAACCTAACCTAACCTATCTTTTTTTGGCTACCTAACCTAACCTTACCTATAAATATAGGTTAGGTTAGGTTAGGTAGGGTTGGTTAGGTTCGGTCATATATCTACGTTAATTTTAACTCCAATAAAAAAAATTGACCTCATACATAGAGAAATGGGTTGCTTTATCATTTCATAAGAAAAAATTATAGTAAATATATTAATTCAGGAAAACTTGGCTTATTAGGCAAATCGGGCCTTGAATAGTAGGCTGAGAAGTGAGTTCTGGCTACTAGGTACGACATATATATATATAGATATATATATATATGTCGTACCTAGTAGCCAGAACGCACTTCTCTGCCTACTATGCAAGGCCCGATTTGCCTAATAAGCCAAGTTTTCCTGAATTTATATATTTTTTCATTTTTTTTCTAATGAAATGATAAAGATATCCATTTCATTGTGTATGAGTTAATTTTCCTAAATTTGAGTTAAAACTAACGTAGATATATGACCCAACCTAAGCAACCCAACCTAACCTAACCTATCTTAACCTAACCTAATCTAACACAACTAATTCAATAATGTATGTTCTTAATATAATATATTAATTTAATAATAATTCAAATAAACTGATTGGATAGCTTTATCATTTCATAAGAAAAAAAATTTGAAAAATATATAAATTCAGGAAAAC